CCAGCTTTCAGATCTGCTCAAAGTATCCATGTTCTTGAACCGCATTGCTTGCTGTCCTCCTGAGCTGTATGTCTCAGCATGGAAAGTCAGCTAGAACTAGTTGCGCTAAAAGTAGCTGTTGCTTATCCATGTATATCATCAGCTTTGGCTGTGGCCAGGGAGTAGCAGCAGTAACTTGGTATGGAATAGCTAAGATCAAGGACAAAATAATGGATCTGCAAGGAGAAGCCCTGAGGTTGTACTTCAGCATATAACATCTCAGAGGTGATCGAAGTGTAACTTGTGATCTGAGTTTAATAATGTCAAATGGCCACAGGAGTGAACAACTGAGAAGCTCTTTGTCTGTAAAAAGGGAGGGCAGGGCATTCATCCAGCTGAAGAAGCAGAAATGGTTGTGCCTTCTAGACAACTGCTCATTGTCACTTGGAAGTGGCCACCTCTGCTAAATAAGTGTGCTTTAAAAACAAAAGGAATCTGACTGGGCAGCCTTGGTTTTGTTGGGCCACAAGAAATGGATGTAAGTAGTTTGTTCTGGAAGTAACTCTTTGATTAGTGTTTAGTAAGCCAGGTTGTGGGGGACGCTTAATGCAATGGAAATCAAGGAGGAAATGTGGTACTGGGAATAGCAGAGAGATGACCATCTCTACCCTTTGAGGAATATTGATGGGTTTTACAGACTTGGAACAAATTAGGAAAGAAAACTGTTAGAGTGGGCAAGAGCACAGGAGAAGAAAAAGTTAATGATTTGATGTATTCACTCAGCAAAGGGTATGATTTGGGGTTACTATATGGATCTGGTTAAACTTGTTTGTGAAAACTGTTAATGGGAAGTAGTTGGCTTTGTATGGGAAACAATAAACACAGGACTTACAAGACTGTTAGTCCTCCAGAGATTTTCAGCCAAACTACAAGAAATATTTCTTGAGAAAATAATGTTTTTATTGAAAATAAGCTATTATATTCTTTCAGAACACAGAAGTAGCTGGAATTGACACAAAGCATTTAATGGATTAGATAGCTGGTTTTCAGAATTAGAAGTGATTGTGGCAATCTTGGAGGTTGGTTGGACATACAGTTCAGGAACTGTCACTAGCTGTGAGTTCTCTTTGTTGGACATAGAATTAAGGTTTTCTAAGTTTTGTAGGATTTTTATCCTGGGGGATTTGGGGGAGAGGACACTGCTGAGAAACTGCTGCTTCCATTGGAAAAGAGCTAAGCTGCTTATTAGCTGTCCTCTTTCAGAAAGCTGGGGCATTCCTGAAGTACATCATAGCTCCAGAGGGTACTACTCTTGTCAGATGCAAACTAAATTCTTTACTGGTTCAAGTATACACTGAATAAACTGAATGGATTGGAACTCTGTATATTTTATTTCCTAGATAACATGGTTAGATTCTGAGTGAAATCCTTTAAAAATGAAAAGGCAGAAGACCTCCTACTTTTTTAAATGAAAACTGCGTAGAGACTTTGACAAAGGTCTTCCTTGTGGTGGCACAATAAATGCAACCTAACGGAATAGGAAGCAACTGCAAATCAGTTGACGGATTGATACAAAGATGAGTTGTCTTTTCTGTTTCATTTCTATTTCCTAGAGGGATTGCCTCTCTCTGTAGTACTGTGGGAAAATAAAAGTCCTTGTGGGATTGAATCAAAGAGAAAATGTGCTAGTGGGATTGTTATTGACCCACACATCAAGACAATAATAGTAATCAAGTGATGTTAAGTGAGATGGTGCCTTAACGCTAAATAAAACTACATCAAGCATTTGATTCTTCTGGTTAAAAAAGGCATCTTTTGGGAAAGAGGCCTTTTCCAATTAAATATATTTCCTATTGGAATCCAAAAGATTCAAAGATTAATATTTAGTTCAATAAAATGCATGAGGAAGGGCAGGCTAAGACGTAGATGAATTAAGCACAGTAGTTTGTGTCCTTTTTGAGGATATTCTTACAAATGGAGGAAAAAAAAGTCTAAATAAAAGTGGTCACACTGATTTCAAATAATTTCAGTCCTGAAAGAATTCTCTAGTATTCTTGAATGGAATCTTCTTTTGAAAGTCTTCAAAATCAGGTTTTGAATAGGAAAGTCGTAGAATCATAGAATAGTTTGGGTTGGAAAGGACCTAAGGATCAGCTAGTTCCAAACCCCCGCCATCAGCAGGGACACCTCGCACTAGACCATGTCGCCCAAGGCTCTTCCAACCTGGCCTTGAGCACTGCCAGAAGAGGAGCATTTACCACTCCTCTGGGCAGCCTGTTCCATTGCCTCACCACCCTCACAGTAAAGAGGGTGAGGTTCCTTATATCTAACCTAAATCTTCCCTGTTTCACTTTGAATCCATTGCCACTTGTCCTACCACTGTGGTTCCTGATGAAGATTCCCTGTCTGGCATCCTTGTAGGCCCCCTTCAGATGCTGAAAAGTCTGTTCTGAGGACAGAACGCAATGGTTCATTACACCAGTTCATAGTAACATGTAGCACACATACATGCCACAAAGGAAGTGTAGAATAGGCCTTTCTTTTCCTGGTATCGTATACATCTTCACTTCTTCCAGTTTATTTGTATCTGAAGATATGCAATCAAAGTGATGGAGTACTGTAGCTTAATGAGTAACCACATTTGAGCTGATGCATGGTGACCAACCAGATGCAGCAATTACCTGTCCCTCTTGCCAAGTAAAACACAGTAGCTTAAACCGTGATTAAGTCTGATAAATGATTTGTAGTTTCAGCCTAGTACCTCCTGATTCACATGCTAACATAGTCAGTTACTGCAATTTGGGAGATGAATGTTAACTCGTTAGGCTCCAGTTCTGATTTTTTTCCTCAACTGAAACATCTGCTCTTCTGTGTATTTTCTCCCCCTTTTTTCTTCCTGATATTCAGCAGTCTAGCAAAGGACTGTGTGTGTTTGAGACTTAAAAGTGAATGTAACTTGCTAGAACTGCAGATTCAAGTCTACAAATGCTGTTCAGATAATTTGGTGGTTTGGTAACTGATGTAATGTGAAAGCCCCTGATGCAATGAAACACACATGCAGTCCGGGCTGTGGAAGCAATGTCTGACGTAGCTGGATGAGTGAGTGCGTAGCTTTTTAAGGGAGTCCTTGTCAACACAAGTGCAACAGAGCACCATCTCCTCTGTCCGTGACTGATAGAAAGGAATGAGGAGCCACTTTGAACCAGATGGTGATGTCTTCTAAATGAAATGGGGTCTTGAGCTTAGTATTTTCTATAGAGTTCAGTTTACTGTTTGAGTCTTGCAGAAGGTACATTTGGTGCATCTTGTTGCACTTTGTCTTGTGACAGAGAAAATCAGCATGAGAAAATTAAAAGCAAAAAAGACTGCAGGAAAGGCAGAAAGAAGGGAAAGAGAATCAACCTGGAATATTTCTTATCTTTAACCACTGAGCTGCTGCCTTGAAGTCAGATACCCCTATACGACATTGACAACAGAAATAGTCTGATGTCTGTTAGCTAGGAAATTACTACACTTAAAATCTGACAACAAAGGAATTGCCATTAACAGTGCTACTAATTCTTACTTGTTTTTAAACACTTTCTACTGCTTTCCATCTGGGTTGCTATATATTGTTGCAAGCATGAAGTTTTGAACATCTTGGAGATGTTTTTTTAAGATGCTCTTAAATACCCAAACCTGCCAATACTGAGAAGAATGAATCAAACATGTAAGCAAAGAGCAGAGCATGAGTCATCATATGTATAGCTAACTAACAATAGAAAAAATGACACAGATGAAATGAAAGAACTGCATATGCGTCAGCAATGCTTGCCTCTTTTACTAGTCCTAAAATGAGTATTTGAAATGCCAAAGCTGAAGAGTGTCTATCAAGAAGCTAATGGGTATATGGACATCCAGTCCTTCTCTTTCACCTGCAGATCAGTATTAGTTTTGATAGGATTGCAGAACTGAGGGGCAAATGGACAAATTAAGCCACAGTTCAGGCTGTAGTATAGTTTGGCTTCAGCTATTCCTCTTTTGCAGACAGGTCAGGGTCATTCAGACCTATTGGTGCACCCAAAGCCCTGACAAGCTTCACCCAGACCCTCCACTCAGGCACCTTCTACCCAGTGCCCCCAGTGCTCCACTTAGACTCTTATCCCCTGTATTCATCTGAGCTACCTCAGCATGTGCCTGTGCACAGCCCTGTTCTTGCTGCTCCAATTTGCTCACTGGGCTTCCTGGGTTGACTTTGCTATGTCCAATGATCACCAGACTCTCACTGTCACCAACCCTGTCCTGATTAAATACTGCAGGACATTGTCCTGCTCAGGGAGGTCACTGGTTTTGCCTGGCTTGGGGCTGTCTGCAGCCAGAGCCTTGTGGAGCAGCCCAGCTCTTCTTGTCCCCTGACCCATTAGCTTAGGCTTCTGTGAAGGACCTGCAATTATTATACCACCAGACATCTTGTGGTGCAATGGAGCTCAGGCAAGGATTAGGAGAAGTCTGGCCTGACCTTAAATGGGTCTTGGGGCTCCTGGGGTCTTGGGCAGAGAATATGAGTGGAGGGCTCAGGTGAAGCTGGTAGGGACAATTAAGGGAAATGAGTGCATTCAGGGCCCCGATGCAGAAGAAATAGAAGCTTGGGTAACTTATTGGCACTGGAAATGAGAAAGGCAAAGAGGTTTTGTAACTATTCATGTGTTATCTCAAAGTGTGGGGATATCTCAAAGTTGCATAGTGGCCAGCAGTTGGCTAGTTTACATGTGTGTTCAAGTCTGTTGTTACTAAAGCATTTTCTTTTCTTTTTTAGAAAAAGAGTGGATAGGATCAAGAGCCTTTGTATGCTGTTTGACTGTAGTGCATTCAATCCATGCAGTGTCCCGAACTTTCCATTAGCCTATCACTTCACCTTACTGAAAAAATAAGACAAAAATAAATTGTTTTCTGATCTCTAATACTATTTCTCTCTATTGATTTTGAGAAAATAGACATATAAATGCAGAAGACTAAAATTGATCCTGACTTTGTACTTCCAGGTTCCTGAGCATGCAGAACTTGCCTGGATTCTTGGGTGCTTAACTAATGTGCCACGTCTGCTACGCTTGCCCCAGTGGAAGGTATGGGCATTTTCCTTAGTTCAGTGGAATTACATGGGAATTCAGTAGAACTGCTGTCCTTAAAATACTTCTTATCTGTGAAATATCAACTGTATCTTGGTTACCCTTGCTTTAGGTTTAAGTCATATGGCAGAAAAAGGAAAATCTGTCTTTCCAGGTCTGTTGCTATCAGTAAACGTTTTCCTGCTGGAAGTTACAACATAACATTTTTTGCAGAGACTTGCAGAAACTGTAATAAATAGGAGGTTTGTTCAGTCTAGTTAAAGTGATTTTGCTAGATCCTTGGAGTTATTTCAGTGCTTTTTTAATAATGCAAAACAACCACAAGATATTACAGTGGAAATCGTGAGCCTTGCTGATGAAGGAGTTCCGTAAACAGCTTTTCTTTTCCTACCATGAAGAGTGGTGGCTCTGTACTTCTTATGGGAGAGGGGGCAAAAGAAACATATGTTGGAAGAGGAGTATAGAAATCATAAACATTAAAAACGTGCTGAGTGATAAAGTTAATGCACCTTAAATGTTTGCATTTCCAAATTTAAAATGTTCATCTTTTTAATCTTAGGAGATCATCAGCAGGAGTACATCAGTGGAGTACTTGCATTTAATTTCCTTGTATTTTATTTTGGCATTTTTTAAGTAGAAGAACCAAAAGGCAGGAGAGAGAAGTATCAAAAAAGGAAAAAAAAGAAAAACTATATTAAGAGCAGTTTGGCTTGCAGACTTCAGAGAAGTCTTAAATACCTCCAGATGTTTGCTTTCTTACTGTTTTTCTTCTTAATTAAATAAAAACAGTAAAACTTAAATACAGCAACCAGTGTTAATGCAGGGCATAGATTAAAGCCAACCTTTTCAAACCTGAGGTTCTAAAGTTAAGCTTTTAAATCCAGCTTTGACTGGATTGACTTTCCAAGCCCACAGATAGGTGTTACAGGTGCTAGGCTTTGCAAATTAGGTCCCCTGAACCTTAGGCACTTAACTATGTGGGCAGAAGACAGAGGGTGAGAAAAACCTAAAGATATTTGAATAGTAATGATGAAATAATGAAGATTTTAAGGGGCTTAGTATATTTAACTGTTATTTCTTAAAAGCAAAAAGTAGATACGCCATTACTAGAACAGAATTAGAAACAGTAGCCTGACTACCTTGAATTAAATGATACATATCCTAAAGCAATGTAGATTTGAATTAATTTCTATATCCTAAAATGATATGGATATGAATTAATTAAATAAATGAATATGAATTAATTAAAATCACAGCCTGTGATACCCTAGCCAAAAGCATGATTTTGCTCTGTTTTTCTTTTGCAAACAGATGAAGTGTGCCAGCCAGAATAATGAAGGAACTGTTGGGTTGTTGACCTACCCTGTGCTTCAAGCAGCAGATATTTTGCTGTACAAGTAAGAGGCAGAATGTGAGCCCATGGGCAATGTCTGTTGAGCTGCATTGGAATGAATGTCTGTCAGGTCAACGTGCTAACTTCTGAAGTGGGGGAGCTGGGTGTGATTAGATCAGAAGATTGGAAATGGATGACAGCTTTTTACCTCTCAAGTGGCTGGTTCAAATCTAGCCTGGTTTGAAAGCAAATGACAGCACTGTAAGGAGAAAAAGCTGATTGCTTCAGAATAATTGTTAGGGAATTATAACCCATTGATGCTTAATTATATGTATTACATGCTCACACACATACATATACTTTTTTTAAGTAGTTATGCCTTATGCAGTATACTGCAGAGATACTTAAACTGGCTGTATATAGCATACCCATATTAGTGTGTCATTCTATGTAGGCCTGTTGATACTGTTGAATAATTTACTGCATCCTGTGGTACCTGAGCTAGTTCAATTTCTTTTGTGGTGTCCCATGTGGATGGAAGTACACCCTGGTTAGGGACGGGTGACTCAGCATGCCAAAGTTTGTAGCCTAGCTGATAGAACTTTTAGTGCATTATTTTAAATTGCCTCAGTAAGTAAATGTTAGAAACAATGCACTATGTATTAATGATTTTTATGTTCCAAGCATATATACTTTCTGAAATTGTTCTGAAGTTGTGAATATTTGTGGAGACAGAGAAGTCATACAGAACTACAAAGACTTTAGGGACTTTAGGAGGACAGAGTAACCAAGATTAGCCAGTTGTTAACCCAGAAAAATGTAGCTAGAGAAATTTAATCTGAAGTGATCATTAGCAGGGAAAAACAGTAATGTCAGAAGACCAGTAGATGGTATTTCTAATTCACTTGATTTTTAATTAAAACTAGTGGGAAGCAAGCAAAAGTCAGAATGAATTTGAACACTAAAATTCTTTTCGAAGCAGTGACTCCTATTTGATTGTCAAGCAGTATTTAAGAATGAAATTTAGACAACTTTATCAGAAATCACCTTGCTTTCATTGAGGTCAACCACCTATGTTATCTCTAATAAGATCGTGTGATTCCTTAGTGAAGCCTGTGATTTGTTTGCTGCCACCTGTATTAACAGCAGGCTGCCCAGCCATAGCAAAAAACAAGGAAGTGAAAGAGAAACAGTATCTCTTTGAAGAAATTTGCATAATATCTCTAATAGTAAATGTTTTAATGTGAAAACATAATATAGGGAACAAGAATCAGGAAGAAATGGAAACACAGGAGGAGCATGGCAGTCATGAAGAAGAGTTAAGAACTGGAGGGTGGGCAAAACAGTACTGATTCAGATGAACCAAGAATTAAAGAGACAGGAAAATGGACAGAAGGTAAATATATGACAGAAAGGAATAAAAATACCCCTAAGACAGGAATATATATATGTGTATATATATATATAAAAGCAGCAAGGAAAAAGGCAAAGAGTCATGCAGAAGCATTTATAAAGATAATATGTTTTCTGTTTAGTGGCCAACTTTGTGAATATGGAACCATTTTGGCATATGGAAACATTTCTTTTGACCTGCTTAAAGTATATTGATAATGGTCACTGATTTTCTTTCTGTTAGTTGTAGGCCACTGGGATTTCCTATTGGCTACTGTAACTGTTTTTAGGTTGCCTTGCTGATTGTTTGGTGGGGGATAAAGGTGGACAAATTGATTCCTGGATGTCAGCCCAGTAATTCAGGATCGGAAGGAAGGAGTACTGTGTTCAACTGAAATTTTCTGGGAATTTAAAAGATGTATAGTGAACTTTCTTACACTGGAACAGATCCAGGATTCAGAGCTTAATACCCCACAAGCCTTAGGAAAAAATCAGCTGGGGAAGGGAGAGTAATCAGAAGCTGGCATGACTTCAAGTCTGCTTCATCTCAAAGAAACAGACATTTTTAGTGAGCATGATTAACTGTGGGAAAGAATCACCAGGGGAAGTAATGGATTCTTCACCTCCTGATGTCCTCTGATGCAGATTGTGTTTTCCTCCAGACCTGCATTCAAGCTACTGAGTTCAATGCAGAAGATCAATTGATCCTTTGATCCTAACAGTTCTCATCTATGAATGATAACATTTGTGGCAATAGAGGCACTGGTCCACATGATACTTATGCAGTGGTGACCCATGAAGAAGAACTGTTCTATTCTTTTTCCTTCCCTTGATAAATCTACAGTACTAACTTCTCAACCTGAGAGAACAAGGCAAGGTGCTTGTGCTTTATGCTTTGCAGATCTTTCTTTGTTTGCAGGCTGTAACACATGCTCTTTGATCTCTAAGGAGACAGCAGGAGATAATACAAAAATCTTTCTTTGAGCTGAATTTAATTATTTGCTCTTCTTGCTGTCTTCACTATATATGTTTTCACAAAAGGCTATTTTTGCCCTTGGAGATGTGATTCTGTTCAACGCAAAAAGCAGGCTCATCCTGGGATACAGTCAGTTTGGGATCTTGTTGCCACATCACCTATACCTGACTTGGACTGCATGGCTCAGTCTGGCCCTCAGTCATGGCAGAAGCTGTGACAGTCTTGAGTGACGTTTCAGCAGAACCAGAAAGCTTTGCTGAGTTTCCTGTATCTGTCTTTTATTAAAAGGTCGACACATGTTCCCGTTGGAGAAGATCAAGTCCTGCACCTGGAACTAGCCCAAGATATAGCACAACATTTCAACAAGAAATATGGAGAATTCTTTCCTGTGCCCAAAGCCATTTTAAGTGAGCTGGTCTTGGTTATTTTTTTTTTTTCCTTCCCCCTTAACAGAACTTCAGGGTTGAAGATGGATTTAAATATGTAGAAGTAGTTTCAGGGACCAAGAAGAGGGAGCAAACTGATGCTAAGAGAGTGGAAAATTAAAAACTGACAACAAGACACCAGAGGCTGTGAAACTAAACTCCCAGGATAGACATAAGGCATTGCAAATCCCCAGTAGAGGAATGTGTGTGACGTTTGGTATTCTAGTCCGGGGGGGGGGCAGATGCACTCTGCTGCTGCCTATCAGCCTTACTCTTCAAGTATTGAACCTTTTAAGAGTAGGGTCTCTGCTCCATGTTGCTAGTTCAGCAGACATGTAAGCAACAAGGCGAAACCTCTAGCAAGCAGAATTCTTCAAGGTCTGAGTGGTAGATGTTTACAGTAAGCATGCTAAACAGCTCAGAGGTACTAAAATTCTCTGAAGTATTTAATGTATACTTTCATATTTCAGTAAGGGTCTCTTACAGAGCTTAGACTTTTGGGTTTTGATCTTAGACTCAGGGAGACTTACAAGGAAAATCTTCTCAGCCATTAGGTCATAGGCCTGGGGGTGAGGAGGAGTCAGATGGCACAAATGGCATGTTTGTTAAGAAATGTGAAGAGCTGGGCAAGGAAGAAGCATTGCATCTTTGTTGTAAGTAATGTAGAGGAATGCACAGCAGAGACCTTCGCCCCAAAAGGGCAAGGAGCTCTCACCTTAGAAAAGACAGGCAGTAATAAACCTTTCTCACTTTTCAAGCCTCAATGACAAAAATGGTGTTAGACTCAGAATGGAGCTCAGAGAATACTCGGTATTGCAAGCTCTGCAGTTTCTAATAAGCAATTCAATACTAAGCACTGTAGTGAGGAGCTGAGTGTAGCTTATGGTGCAGGTGAGGCTGTTTCCCAGGAAATAAAAAGCTCAATTTGAAGAAAAAGATTTTTAAAAAAGAACTTTTCACTTTCCCTGTGAAAAGCATACCTGCATAGGTTCACAAGTGTATGCAAAGCAACGAAAATCATGATGAGTGAAGTTAGGGACCTATTCAGACTCACTAGTTGCAGGCAGTTAGATTACATGGACTCCTTCAAATTTACAGAAAAGAGACAGCCTCTTCCAAAAGGTGATTCAGAACAGAGCACTTCCTAGGGCAGTCTGAGTTGGACCCTGGAAGAGCGCTTACTCTTTCGCTGAGTACATAAGGCTGTCTATGAGGAGTGAGTAATTTAGTTGGCTATATTAGGTGTCTTTTAAAAAACAACTGGTGTGAGTACTTTCTAGATGAGTGATACTTCATGTACTCCATGAGTTGTTTCTTGGTAAAAGACTGAAACAGTTTGGTTTGATCCTCATAAAGTACTTTGCAATATTCCCTTAATACTGCTATTTCATGTACACACATACATCTCAATAGATTGTACAATACCCACACCTTTCTAAGCTGAACAGAGTTTTCCTTCTAACAGAGCTGATTAGTGTTTAGTTAGGGAACTTTTAATAACTGTCTTTATTAATATTTAGGAGAATTACCAAGAGATTTTGGGTGAAAGAGCTTCCTCAAGTAAGGAGATTAACTGTTCTGGGATTCTTTTTTATCACTGGATTTAACCTGTTTCTCCACTGTTAGAGAGCCCTTCAATAATGTGCAGTCCATGCTGTCTAGGTAGCTTGTGCCCAGTGCCAGAAATACAAGGGAGGGGAGAGTTTTTGAGGAAAATCACTATGTAGCCGCAGAAAATACTAGGAGCTGTCCCAGCAGATGTTTCTGCTTACCAGGAGGGGAGAAATGCATCTAGGTTTACATTTTGTTTATGGGAGAGGAGAAAGGTAGCTTAGGAGGACAGAGAGGGCATATGGACTAAATAGGAATATATGTGATTGTGCTCACAACTCATTTTTAAGCCCATGGGGTGCTGGTCAGGCATTGGAACATGCTGCCCAGGGCAGTGCTGGGGTCACCATCCCTGGAAGTGTTCACAAACTGTGTAGATGAGGCCCTCGGTGACATGGGTTAGTAGTGGCCTTGGCAGTGCTGAGGAACAGGTGGACTTGATGATCTTAAGGTCTTTGCCAACGCAGTTGATTCTGTGGTCATGCTGCTGCAAAGTGTTCTTCTAGCAATTGTCATAGGAAAACACTGTCTCAGTGTGTTCAGAATTGTTCATAATTATTCCCTTTTCTTTTTTCTTAAGGTACAACAAAGAAAATAAAATCCCTCAGAGACCCAGCAGTGAAGATGTCCAAGTCAGACCCGCAGAAGTTGGCCACTGTGAACATAGCAGACAGCCCTGATGACATAGTGCTGAAATTCCGCAAAGCCGTGACTGACTTCACCTCAGAGGTGACCTACGATCCAGCCACTCGCCCTGGTGTCTCCAACCTGGTGTCCATCCATGCTGCAGTGACAGGGCTTAGCATTGAAGAGGTACTGCACCAATCTGTTGGTCTGGACACTGCTCACTACAAAATGGTGGTAGCAGAGTCAGTGATTCAAAAATTTGCACCTATCAGGAATGAAATCAAGAAACTCCAAGAAGACAAATCCCATCTGATGAAGATTTTAGAGGATGGAGCAGTGAAAGCCAAAGAACTGGCTGCCCCCATCTATCAAGAAATAAGAAGACTGGTGGGATTTCAGTAGACTCTGATGAGTAATCACGAGGACTTTTGTTTCCTGGGACACACATTTTGATATTTGTATCTTCTTAATCATTTTGGTTTGAAACTAAAGCTTTTTTTCCCTGGGAAATCCAAGTAGAACATTGAAGGTGTTTGCATTAAAAAATGTGCGCAAAACCATATTTCCAATGGGACCATCATTAAGCTTGTCTGGATAGTCAAAGAGGGAGGGCAGAAGGAATCAGAGTTCATGGAGAAATCATGCAAAACCAGAATATAAGGTTGCCCAAATAGGGTTTTGGTTTTTCTGTTGACCACTGCAAGAAGCTGAAGTACAGGTGAGGAGCTCAGAATCTAGCAGAAAGATCTGTCATCTTCTGAAAAAACATCCTTACCTGTGCATGTGAGCTCATTACAAACACAGAACTCTTCCCATTGGTAGTTATTCAGCTTTGATATGGTGGTTGAATATGTTCTCGGATAACCAGAATAAAAGCCCAGGTGATGAAGAGAGAACTTAGTGCTTCTCCCTGTTTTTGTCTTCAAACTCAGTGTGATTTTGTATCTGCATCTAGATGGTGTGAAGTGTGTTATACAGATTTCCATGCTCTAAACCTCACTGTAACTACTGTGCTAGATGGTCCCTTTGATAGTTACTCCAAAGAATGCAGAGAGTGGACTTGAATTTCACTTCTGCCACCTGTGCCATCCTGCTGATCAGGTCTAAGGTACTTCAGTGGGAAAGTACACGTTCTTCAGCTGCTGCTATTTCACCTGGTGTTCAGTTTAGCAGGGAGCTTCAGGATTTGCAGTTCAGCATCCTTTAGAAAAGGTACAGGGGGAAAGTATGTAATTCTGTGTGAAAGAAATCTTTATTTGAGAAGTCAGAGAACTTTCTGTAAAATGTATAAAACTACTTGTTTAGAAAATTGTGGCGTCAGAGCCAGAATGGGACTAAATATGTTTTTAGGAACTCTCACTACTGAGCCTCAAGAAAGTTCAGTGATAGGAGAATGGTGTTAGACTGCGCTGATCTTAAGCCTCACAAGAGGTAAGACCAGGACCCACAGACCGTGGCATTTTTTGGGGAATATGTGGCAAAGGGAAATTGTCAAAAGGAGACAGCCTCTTCCAAAGAGAGGGTAGTAGTACATCTTAAAAGGTAACTAAAGTCCTACTGGTCCTGTGCCAGCGTATTTAAGTGTATCATTGTTCTTAATGGTTCTGTGTTTGAAATTGCTGTACTGTAGTGTAAATTGAGTTAATCCTGTACTCTGGCATCTCATAACCATTACATGCCTATGACATTTGTCATGAAGGATTTCAGTCTTCTACGACTCAGTAAAACTGGGAGTGGGAGGATGTGTCTGTGTAATGCAGTTGTTTGCTTAAAAAACACATAAGCTATGTAGTTTTAAAATTTAGTCACTTATCATGGTGAGGTGATTCAGACAGAATTACTTAATGTTGCAAAACAAGAAGTTGTGGCCTGAGTGTCTGCAGATCTGTACTGAGACCCTGTATTTGTTTGTTAGTTCTCTCTGAAGGAGAGAACTGCCATGCAAGAACTTGCTGATGACACAGTTTCTAAAGTTAAAGACTAGAGGAGCAGAATGGATGGAAACAGAATGATGGGAAACCAAACTCAGTATAGGCAAGCCCAAAGTAATATCCTTTAGAAAGAATAAGTATATTCAAGAACAGGCCCTGGTTTCATGTTAACTGCAGCAGATTAAGAAAGGACACAGTTGTAACTGCGTATTTAGGTAGTTTTACAACACTTTTGTCAGTGTTTTAACAGCTGTAATAGTCTGCATGGAAACTAGAACAAAAACTTCAGGCACATGGTTACTGCTGCTTACTGACTTGGCATAAAGGATTTGCTGTGACACTCTTTCTTTAACATGGGTTCATTTCTGCATAGGTCCCACAACAGGTTCCTTAAGAGAAGTTAACACGGTGCTCATGGAAATACTGCAAATCTTTAACATTAGTGTATCCAATTTCTACCTGTTCTTCTTCGTTAGTGAAAAAGATAGGAGCATATATTCAAAAGACAAAATCATAGTTTCAAGGTGTCTTTACACTTATGATACTCCCACCTAATGCACAGGGTTGGTGTCCAACACCTTTGCAGTAAAAATGGAATAGGAGTATTTGTGTGTCTTCAATACAATATATTTGTTTTATAAAGGGGAGGAGGGGAGGATGACATCAACAGGCATTTCTGGCTCGTTACCCAAACTGTTCTGAGCAGACTTTTCAAAACTGTTAGATTTTTCCAGGGAATCATGTAGGTGAAACAGGAAGAAAAACTTCCAAAAAGCCCTTTCTTTAAGGTAGGGGTTTAATACATTACATATTGAGCAGTGTTTCAGTCAAATTTACTACTTTATCTCTTTTAAATTCAATAATACATTAGGGGTTTCCCTTTCCCCTGTCAGTCAAACAGCTCTTACTTGCCTGACCTGTTTCCTTCAAGTAAGGAAACATTCCTTGTTTTCCTTCCTCAAGACAGTTAAACTTGTGAAAAATGAATATATTCACTTACTGACTGTTGACATAGCTTTTTATTTTAGTAGCTCTTGCAGAGGAATTCTCAAAATGAAAGCTGCATCTGCCCAGTGAAATACTCCTATTCTGCTAACAACCATGATCATTAGAGAACAGTTGTTGAGAAGGCTTGGTGCTGTGTATCTCGGAAGGATTTGTTTCACACTAATTCTAGTCAAGTGTGCCAATGATTTACAGTTTATTTACATTTGGAGTGAAGTAGGTGCACTTCTGAAATGCATGTTCATGTTCCATTGCTGAATGATGCAACGTGTGAGGCCTGCTGAAATGCAGTTAGTGGAGACAGTGGGAAGTTTCTGCAAAAGCACACTCCTGATCTCAGTGGCAGTGCTAGTGCAGACATGCCCTGTGGCACTGTGGAAGTCATTGTAAAGTGTTCTTGAAGGACTGGGTGGGAAACAGATCCAATCACATCTTTCTGAGTTGAAGAAAGAAGCATTGGAAGCTGGGAAGGTAACCTTACCCCTTGATGTGTTGCTCTCTGTCTCAGGTTCCTTTTCTTCAGTGATACTTTTCCTTGAATATGTGCAGTAATTTGTCTTAGTCTTGAAATCTCCTCCTTTTCCCATTCCTGTATGTTTCATGTGTCTGAAGTACATATACAGTCACTGGGATCTGCAGTATCAGATCTAGCATCTCCAGGTAACTGAAGAGATCCGCTTACCTCTAAACATCAACTCTGCAATGAATCACTTTCTAAGATCTCACTAGAACATGTATACACTTGAGACATTTATCTTAGTGGCTCATGGTTTGTAGGAAGTCGTCACTTATCAGAAGATGGTGATAGTGAGTCTCAGTTCTGTGCTTCCTCTTTAGAGTACAGAATTTACTGTGAATTTTAGACGCAGGAACAATATTTTCTTCAGCAGAGATGATAACTGACATTATAAATTAACTCTGGCACTGCTCCAGCATACACCCCTGCCTCAAGTAACTGGAGTGTATGTTGTACATTATAATGGAATTTGTAACTTTGAAAGGTGTGGTTTAAGTATCCTTAGTTTTCAAACACCATGATCTGGGCTCTTAGAGCCCCCAGAAGGCTTTGTGCATACTCCTGATTCAGTGTGTATTTATCTACACAGAGTTTAAGCAAAACTCCTGAGCAGGATTATGGTTATCTCCAAGGTTGAGGGAGTTCATATGGGTGAGCTGAAAATTGAAGGAAGGACAGTGAAATGGAACCCTTGGGGACTGTCTGAAATGGGACTACAGGTTATCAGAGCAAATATTTTCTTATTCTGGGTGGGGGTCCTCATGATCCTGACAACAGTACAGCAGTAAATACTGCTTGCAAAAGCCTTTATGTCCGCTTCTGTAGGAACTCTGTATCTGATTTGTTGATGACAACCATATCCTAGATTGCATCAAAAGAAGCATGACCAGCAGGTCAAAGGAGGTTATCCTACCCATCTGCGCTGCTCTCATGGGACCCCCACACTTGCAGCCCTGTGTGCAGTTCTGGTGTCCTCAACGTAAGAAGAACATGGAGCTGTTGGAGCAAGTCCATAGAGGCAACGAGGCTGATCAGGGGCTGGAGCACCTCCTGTATGGAGACAGGATGAGAAAGTTGGGGCTGTTCAGCCTGGAGAAGAGAAGCTGCGTGGAGACCTCAGAGCAGCTTCCAGTGTCTGAAGGGGGTCTACAAGGATGCTGGAGAGGGACTCTTCATCATAGAATCATAGAATCATACAATAGTTAGGGTTGGAAAGGACCTTAAGATCATCTAGTTCCAACCCCCCTGCCGTGGGCAGGGACACCTCACACTAAACCACATCACCCAAGGCCTCATCCAACCTGGCCTTGAACATTGCCAGGGATGGAGCATTCACAGCCTCCCTGGGCAACCCATTCCAGTGCCTCACCACCCTAACACGAAAGAATTTCCTCCTTATATCCAATCTAAACTTCCCCTGTTTAAGTTTTAACCCATTACCTCTTGTCCTATCACTACAGTCCCTAATGAAGAGTCCCTCCCCAGCATCCCTATAGGCCCCCTTCAGATACTGGAAGGCTGCTATGAGGTCTCCACGCAGCCTTCTCTTCTCCAGGCTGAACAGCCCCAACTTTCTCAGCCTGCCTTCATACAGGAGGTGCTCCAGTCCCCTGATCATCCTCGTGGCTTCCTCTGGACTTGTTCCAACAGTTCCATGTCCTTTTGATGTTGAGGACGCCAGAACTGCGCACAATACTCCAGGGGAGGTCTCACAAGAGCAGAGTATAGGGGCAGGATCACCTCCTTCGACCTGCTGGTCATGCTCCTTTTGATGCAGCCCAGGATACGGTTGCCTTTCTGGGCTGCAAGCGCCCACTGCCGGCTCATGTTCATTTTCTCATCAATCAACACGCCCAAGTCCTTCTCCGCAGGGCTGCTCTGAATCTCTTTTCTGCCCAACCTGTAGCTGTGCCTGGGACTGCTCCGACCCAGGTGTAGGACCTTGCACTTGGCATGGTTAAACCTCATGAGGTTGGCATCAGCCCACCTCACAAGTGTGTTGAGGTCCCTCAGGGTTTTTATTTGCTATGTACTTGTAGAATCCCTTCCTGTTACCTTTAATACCTCTAGCTAAGTTTAATTCTAACTGGGCCTGAGAAAGGGACTGTTGTGATTGTAAAAGGGGTGAGGGTTCAAACTTAAGCAGGGGAAGTTCAGATTAGATGTAAGAAAGAAGTTCTTGACTGTGAGGGCGGTGAGGTGCTGGCACTGGTTGCCCAGAGAAGTGGTGAATGCTCCATCCCTGGCAGTGTTCAAGCCAGCTTGGACAAAGCCTTGGGCGACGTGGTCTAGTGTGAGATATCCCTGCCCATGGCAGGGGGTTGGAACTGGATGATCTTAAGGTCTTTTCCAATCCAAAACATTCTATGATTCTATGACTGTACTAAAACAGGAGTCTAACTTTTCTGGTCTCCACAGTTTGCTAGGTGTTTGTGTCAGCAGA